AATAAGTTTTTTATTTTATAAATTAAATATTAATTATTGATTTGTCTTTTTTATTCTTAATGTACAGTATTTTGCAATTAAAGTGAAAGTTATTTTATACTTTTCTCTACAAAACCAAAGCCCAAGCGCTCAGTTGTGATGCAAACGATGTGTGGGAACCGTAAACACGGTTCGCATCAAAGCGTCCGTTCCGCTCAAAGCCAGCACTGGATTGAAGTTGAAATAGTTGTATGGGTTGGGGTATGGGTTGGGGTTGGGGTGTGGGCTCAGTGTTGGCTGAGACTGCGGCGGACACATCGGCGGCGCGAACATCAGTGGACTGGTGTCTGACTCTTGACTTCCGTCCATCACTTTAGACCGCAATTCATCCAAACGTTGATTGTTTTGTCGCTTCCATTTGGTTCTGTGTTTTGACATTTGGATCATTCAATTACCGTTAATTTGATGACAATAGGGTTGTCTGTGGTCTGTGGGCACTGACCTTCTGTTTTGATACCAAGTCTTGATCTGTGTTTCCGTGAGATTCAGAGTGAGCGCCACTTGTCCTCTGTCTGAGACACTTAAATACTTCTGTAAACGAAACTTTCGCTCCAAATAATTCAATTGAACCTAAATTATGACACAAAACATTGATTTGCTTTCATATGATTTATACAGTAAGTGACGAGATTGTGATGAAACCTGTGTGAAAGCAGTCCTTCTTCTTCGAGGTTTCTTTTGGCGATTTGTTTTACTCGACTCACCATTTCCTTGCGTCCCTTTAAGATAGGTTTTGTCAAAGAGTTAATCAATTTCATATTTAGTATCGTCTGAAGTTCAGACTCTGAACTTAAAAGGGATTTACATATTCAGTCATTGAATGGGATCATTGGAGTTATTCATGGCTTTTGTGTGATAAGCCTTTGACTACAAACCCGAACATTATTTATACAGTAAGTTATATTACATTATAATTGATTACTTGGTTTGCTTTGCTGTTTGGATTTAAATGGAAATTGTTTGCATTTATTCACTATTCAATAGGTAATAAACAGAACATTATTTGATAAATTCAATAGTTTTATTTTCTATGCATTCAATTAATACCGTGTTTTGCTAAAAATTTACTAAAAATTTACTAAAAATGATACTTCAATAGATTCACACCAATATAATAGTCAGTACTCGTATACAATAATGTAAAATATACTATTGAGAACTAACAAGTAAGCAAATATTGATATGATTTAGTGTCCAATGGTTTGTTTTCATCAAGTTTCAAAAGTTGAAAACATTTTTGTATAAAATGAAACTTATAATTGTATTCAGAGTATAGGCGTTATTGGATTTCTATTTCAATTATTGTGCACAGTAGTCAACTATAAGCAAATACAAAGTTAACTATAATTAGACCATGAATTATGCACTCTTTCTATAAACTGTTTAAATTTTAATGTTAAGATTTATTTAAATGAGGCATTTAGATAAGATAATTAATCTTAAAGTACTAATATTCAAGTCTAGAGTTTGTATAATTAATTATTATTTAGTACATTCAGTTAATAAACTTATAACTGATTCGCAGTCAATGGATTTTTTGTCGCAAAGAATTTGTACAAAAATATAAATGAGACAAATGTGTGATAATAGGGGAGACAGTAATACTAAACCGACAAATAACTGTATGCGCGCTTAGACACTGGTGTCTAATGGATTAGAAGAGTAAAACATATCATGAGATCAATTATGGAGTCAAATGGTGTCTAAGTCTTACACTCAAAGAGTGGACATCCGCTCTAAACTGAGTTGATTCCACTTGTGGTAAGCGTTTCATCAGTTTGTGTCTCATTGGCTGAACTGTCTTTAAAATATGAGCGCCGGTAGTAATGGTTAAAAGCGTTCACAACTATTAGCACTTAAGTGTAATTAAATTTGAGTAAAGGATAACTTAACCGACAAAATGATGCAAAAATAACTAAAAATCTATTAGCGCTGAGATCTTTATGTGTCTCCAAATATATATATTATGTAATTTTCGCGGATATTTACGATCGCTTTAGATGCGAAAGAATTGTTATGCAATTCAATGCAATTTAAGTCGATTTTAATGATTTGCTATTACAGTATAATTATATCTAAAAATTAATTTTATCAGTCATTACTTATTATAATTTTGAATCTAATGTTTAGTATTTAAGTGTAAAATCTGATGTGTAACTTAATTTTAACTTTGTTTTGACTGATTTAAGTAAATTACGGGTATTTTACACAGAGTTTTAAGCATTTGGAGTCTTTATTAAACTGTAAAACGTCTGTCTCTTCACTCAATTAAGTTGTAAATCAAATTAAAAAATTTTAAAACTCTGTTTAGAGTTTAAGTCAAAATCTATTGAAATTCTTTTCAAATATATAGTTTTAAGTATTATTTTCAGATTTAATAAGAATAGAAAAACAACTTTTAAAAATTCACAAGAATTTTGCTCGAAGTATAAATATCTAAATAATAAAAGATTATTCAATAGATTTCGATATGATTTCAATTCATATTTATAATATGCTATAAATTGTAAGAAATCAAACCAAGAATTGGCATAAATTCTTATATAACAAGAATTGTGTGCAAACCCTAACACGATATGAAATATACTCTCAAATTAGATTCACATTCAAACTAAACCTCTGGTATTGAATGGAAGAAAAGTTGTTTCTTATTGTGAAAACTGAACGACAGATGAAATCATACCATAAAATTGATTTGCATTTGTATTAAATAACATTATTGCTCTCAATTGAGATGTTTTGCATAAAAAGCGTTTGCGTTAATAGAGTGGAGGAAGACATACAGAACTATAGATAAATAAAAAGTTTTTACGTTTTGATCGCTTACAGAGCTTTTGAGGCATTATTAGCCTATAATTGAGGGGTCGTAATGTCGTAATGGCAACACCTCTTACAACAACACACGGGTCAACACAATATTGAATTTTAAATCAAACAAATTTTCTATTATTAGTTTGCTTTCTATTTTTTGTTGCTTTTTATACATGCATTCAATGATTGCTATATTATAGACTCATAGTCTCTCTCTCTCTCTCTCTCTCTCTCTCTCTCTCTGAGAGTTGAACTCTCTATTTAGGACTAATCCTAAAAGACTTTTAGTGAATGTCAGTCCCGTATAATTCGTTGATTTTTTCATTTTTATTAGGATTCACACGAGCGGTGAAAATAGAAGTATTCATTGGGACATTGAAAGGAACTACAGGTGGCCTTAAAATTTAGACCTTTGATTAACTGAACTCTAAAAGCAAACTCTAAAATCACAGATCAATCGCTAACTTTCTATATAATGTATTTCTTCGCTTACTTTTTTGGCCCATTTCTACGTTTTGATAGAGTTTTGAAATGTTTTGTGAAAAGTTTCTCCATTTCCACGCAAAATAGTCTCTCAATTGAAAAGCGCTAAACATTTACATAACTTTTGAAGTGCTGCTGAAAACATTGTAACAAAACTTTTTTTATTGTGAAAAACACAATTTGAATACTTTTAATGCAAATCAGTCACTCAATTCATATGTAATCCTCCATTCAAGTGATACATGCGATTGAAAATACAACTAATGGTTAGAAAACTATTTTAATTACTCTCAAAACTTTTAATTTATGGGACGATAAACGAGAATTGATATAAACTTTCAACAGTAATAAGTTAGTCATTAAGATAATCTTTATAAAAGTAAAATAAAACGTAAATAGTTTGCTCAAAGCCTTACCATTTGAATGGAAAGTTGTCTCATCCCTGGACTCATCCTTGTCTTCCCCGTCTTCGTCGTCTACATCTTCGTTATCACTTCGTATGTTTGGTTCGGAATCCTCTTCATCCTCTTGTGGACCAACTGTTGGATTCTTAGTGTTAATTGCAGTCAATATATCTTTTATAAGAAACGATGACTTTTTGGTCGCATCCATGGCTTTAATAACTAGTGATTTGTGTGTAAGTGATGGAGTGATGGATGTGTTTGACGTGAGGATCAGTGGATTTGATGACCTCTGACGCGACCCTCACTTACAACTTATATCGTAAGTTATGGTGAGTTTAACTGTGAGCCCACACCTCAGCATCCGATTAGGAGCTCTGGTTGGCTGTATATAACAGCCCCTTATAGTGGAGTAGAGCCCGCCATAGACTATAGACTATTGCCGAATGTGTATAGCGTTATGACAGTTAGAAAGCGCGGTGGAGGAGCAGAAGGGAATGGTATGTAAGCTTTAACTGTATTTAGTGACGGTATGACTGTATGATTGTTTTGTGTGCTCTGAGAGTGTGTATGCAATGAATGAAAAGTGCATTTTTGATGAGTTACACAATTAGAGTGGTAGCCATGGGCTAAATTGCTTATTTGCATCCCTTGTAATGCAATATAAGTTTTAATACAAAGCTTGCGATCAAATCCTTTATTTCACTCTTTTTCTAATATAATTTGCATTCATTTATACCTTTATATGAGTTGAAAATGTATAGCATTTATAAAAGCAAATAATGAGATGTGAATATAAAGTTGACTCCAAATAAAAGTCTTGTGTTCACAGAACATAAGGTTTAAGGCTTTCGCTTTTGAATAGCAATGCAAAAGTGAGTTAACGCTTACATACAGTTATGTCTAAATGCGAAACAAATCATTATTTGTAACAAAAATTGTGTGTCTGTTAAGAGGAAATGTTATGTAAATACGATTTGCAGGCAATGATGAGGTGCCGGCCCTGTTATTCTCTTAATTGTCTTCAAATCTAATGATTTTCATACACTTTGTGTTCGCCAACCACTGCAACAATACTTTGATTTGCGGCACAAATTGAGAGCAGAGTCGATGCCATAGAGGGTTAGGAGTCATAGGATTCACTAGTTTATTGATATACAGAATCTGTTGTACGAGTTGTTAAGTGAGAGAATAGTGGCTCTAATATGAAACTCATTTGAAACAAATCAAACATTTGCCGCAAAACATTACCAAACATTATAAGACATTATTACCATTTGGCCAATCATTGCACCAAATGATGGCATCAATGAGAATATATACTTATCACACAAATAGAGGCAGAGGGAGGATAGGGAGCAGAGGAGAGGGGAGTGTAGAGAGAAACAGGAGTAATGAATAGAGTGGAGGACCGGCACTACAGTGCAGATGAGCGGCACAAACCATAAGAATCGAAAAGCGCTTCAATAAATTGGCTCAAAAAGATTGAGAGCAAAAGAGCTACCTTTTGTGAGCTACCAGTACTGACTACCAGCTACCAGTGTTTGTGATGGACCTGTTTAGTGGTCAACTTATCCATCGATGAACACTAATAACCAATTCATTGAGTGGATTGAGAGCTCATATCCTCTCGAAATTGATTTACTTTTCATTTTGCAAAAGAGAGATAATAAATGTATGGAACTATAAATGAGAGCAAAACTATAGTTTTGATTATCCCATGCACTCCATAGTAGGGGAACTCCATGTCGAGTGCCAATTATTCAATTGAAACTATGAATGAATAATAAGTTTGTTTTGTTATACAGTACTATTGGCATAGAATAAGCCCTAAAGCCAATCAATTTACCAGAAAATTATATATTTAGATAAAAAGTGGAAATTTATTTGAATCCTAAAAACTATTTGTTTAACAAATTAACTCTTAGTTTATCTAAAAAGTGATTCATTATTAAAGAGAGTTAACGTTTTTAAGCCCATAAAAAGAGTAAATTATATTAAGTTTCGCATCAATTATGTAGTATTGAGTCAATAAAACATTAGTATATGTAGTAAATTGAGGATTAATTTTAATTTGGTTAACACTATAGACTATCGAGATCACTTACACATAACTTACAGATTTGATAATTGTTAATTAACAATGACAGATATGATATTATTTAATATCCAAATTTGATTATGGATTATGTTTAATATTTATCTCTATATAATTAATACCTTTAATTATAAATTATAGTTAAAGTTTAGGAGATATACTGTATATATATGCAAGTTTTTGCAAACTACATAGATAATTTTTATAATTTTTGCTCAGACAATTATTTTAATAATTTTAAATCATACGTTATATTTAAATTAACGTTAAACTAAATGTGAATTTTACGAATGGTTTATCAATAAAAATAAGTAATCAATTGTATGAAATCAGTGAAGAATTGTTGGAAAATTGATTAAAAATGAGATACAAGTATATGACAAACATTATCTGGGAATCAACTTCTTGTTCATTCTCTTCGAGCATAGGATCACATGAGAGTCCAGAAGACAGTGAAGATTCTTGTCGATGATTATGACAATATTTAGTGGACTTAGTGACCAAAGATTATGACACCTTTTGGAGAGCCAGTACTTTGAAATGTATGGTGTGTTGAGTCTGAACTCAACCACACGACTCCTTAGACGTCTAAACACTAATGAATTCAATGAATGAAAATGCAAGTAATATACAAACATTGTACTCAGGTATAAAAGTTATGATAACCCTGATAACTCTGTGAAAACCTTTTGACACAAAAGAGATTTAAGAAAAGGTTTAGACTTTCAGTGAAAAGCATTAGAAAAAGAGTGCAATGAAAACTACTTTCAATAAAGTGTAATACAAACATGACTTTTAAAATACAATAATTTGTATGAACTTAAAAAAAGTAAAACTCATGTCTTATTCAGACTAAGATTTGGACATAAAATGCTGACCGGATGTGACGCCTGGATCTTACAGTCACTCTTAAGGATGCTTTCCTCCCTCACAACCATTCACTGAAGTATTAAATGAATTTTCATTGAAAACATAAACTCAGTCAATATTATAAAAGTAATTTTTATAAGAATTATTGGAGAATATTCTTTATAATTTTGTTACTTAGATAATAATCGCCCGAAGCTATCGACAAAATTATAATAAATGTAGCAAACATTTCACTCGTTTATAGCATTGTTAATAACTTTATAACTATTTCCACTTTTATGACTATATATCAACA